AGCGTGTGGAAGCGGGTTTAGGGGCTGAGCAGAGCCGGGAAAAATATGTTTTCTCCTTGTGCAAAGGGAGAGCAAGCACTGGAGGGACGGTGAGTTGCTGAAGGGGCACCTCAGGAGGGCAGTCGGACGTGCGAACCCCGCTGGGTTCCTCACCCCGGTTGTAAGGCTGCCCGTCTTGCTGCAGCATCGGCTTTACTGCAGCCAGCACCACCCCAAAGCCTACGTAGCCCCAGAAGCTGACGTGAGACAGTGATGGCAGCAGCACTGACGGCAGCCCCGCAAGCCGTCCCCGCTCGGGACGCCCCGCCAGGGCCTGACGGGTGGCCTGGTGGCCCCTTCCAGCCTAAACACCACTGCTCATCCGCTGCCTCTCCTGGAGCTTCAGCGTCTCGATTTCACACCAGCCGTTTCCGAGGGAGGCTGCCGCTCAGCCGCAGACCACGCAGGACCGCCAGATACCTTTGCACCTTCAAGGCAGCCAGGATCGGGGGCCATAGGGCTGGTGGCCGTGCCTGCCCGCCCCTTGGCCTCTTCCCGTCACTCGCTCTTCTCCGGGGGCGAGGCAGGGTCCCCGGGGGACGGTGGCACAGCAGAGGGTGATGTCTACCGCTGGCGGTAGGTGGCATGTGGCTGGGAGGCTGCAGTGGGCACCCGCGCTGCTGGGAAGAAGTGCCCCATTGCTCAGGCGCCTCTGCCACTCTGGACCGCAGAGGTGGCAGCTCCCAGCGCCCATCTGTGCATCGAAGATGCGCCAGAGTGAAGGCGGGGGTCAGGCTGCCAGCCCTTCCAGGACAAAGTCCGACTTTAAAGAAAAAAAAAAAAAAAAGGGTTTTTCAAAGGGGAAAGAAATTCTGAGATGTCCCCGGGGATTTGCTGATTTTTGCTATAGCAGCGAGGGGCTTGGGAGAGCCCTTCCCTGTGCTTGAAGGACGCGGTGTTGACAGCGATGGGCGACCATCTCCGTGTGCCTTACACCTCGCAGCCCAGCAAAGCAGTTCCAGAGGATTCGAGCTAAGATGGGACGCCAGGAAAAAGTGGGCTTTCCCCTGGGCTTTGCAAATCACCCCCCAGTTATAAACAGGGCTGGCACGGCCTTGCTCTTGAAATTAGAGAAAATCGGCGTGGAGAGGCCGGCAGCGTGCTGCGCCCTGCTTCGGGACAGCGTCCTGGCTCCTACGCTGCCAGAGCGGCGCAGGGAGAGCTGGGGCTGAGCCCCGGGAGAGGGGCCCCATCCCCTGTGCTCCTGCCCAGCCGGGGGGGGGGGTGTCTCGCCCCCCGGGGGGCCGGCTCCCCTTCCTCACGGGCGCCTCTGCTGCTGTTTTCTGAACAGCTGTACCCTTTCCGTGTTTTTGTCTTTGCAGGATCCACCTCTGCTGTCAGAACATGGCCAAGAGCAAAATAAAAATGAAAAGCAAACATCCAAAGCTTTGCCACTCAAAAGAAAGGGAGTTTGACCCTTTTTTTTTTAATTTTGAGAGCAGTGTTTTTACCGGAAGACTCAGTCACTGCAATTAGCCCTCGGGATCCCCTGCGGAGCAGCAAATCCATATTTCTTTACTTCGCTCATTGCGAGGAGGTTACTTTATTAAACTCTCACGGTTTGTCTTGTCCTCTTCCAGCCCTGTGCGGTTCGTGTAGCTCACACCAGGCTGTGGGCATTGATTCTGGCTGCGGAGGAAAGGGAAGATGGGGAAAAGAGTAATAATAAACCTTAATAATAATAATAATAATAAGAAAATAATAATAAACCAAACAAGCTGTGCTGCTTGGTAGCTGCAAAGCTAGCCTGATGGAAACGGGAGCAGAGGAGCTCATGCTCTTTATCAGACGCCTTTCCCCCTGCCTGTCTTCGGCCTCTTTCACACCTTCATCCACCGCCTCTCTGGGAAGGGGAATATCAAGGAAATGCCGTTTTCGGCTCAGACTGCAGGAGGAGCGACGGAGAGCTCAGACCTCGGCCTACAGAGCATTCAAATCTATCATTTCACCCCCTTGAAAATTTCAGCTCTCTCACCTGCACGGGAAATAAATGTCTGTGGGTTTTAATTTCATCAGCAGGGACGTCCCCCGAAAGCAGAAAGGCAGGCGGGGGTACGGCGCAGGGCGGGTTCGTTTTCTCCACTAATGAAGCCCAGGGCTCGGGCTGGGCTCGGGCCAGGGTTCCCTAATCTCAACCCAAAGCCATCGTCTCCTCCTAGGTGACACACGTCCCGCGGGTCTGATCCGCCGTTCCTCTGACCTCTGGAAAGGAGGGACAAATTAGTGCTCGTACGGGTGAGCTTGCAACGGCCGCCTGGCCGGTGCCGGTCACTCCCTGGATAAAATAGTTCACCCAAGAAGGGCTCGGTTGCTCTTCATCGCCACAAAACGTGTAAATAGGGTCATTCCCAGAAGTCTCCCGGAGGGCTTGGTAACGCCGATCTTTCTTTGCTTTAGTAAAACCTGTTGTTTCCCCAGTTTTCATTTCTTTTTTTTCCACTTCTCAACGGCCGCCTGGCCGGTGCCGGTCACTCCCTGGATAAAATAGTTCACCCAAGAAGGGCTCGGTTGCTCTTCATCGCCACAAAACGTGTAAATAGGGTCATTCCCAGAAGTCTCCCGGAGGGCTTGGTAACGCCGATCTTTCTTTGCTTTAGTAAAACCTGTTGTTTCCCCAGTTTTCATTTCTTTTTTTTCCACTTCTGGTGGTCTTTTTCTGTTTTCAGAAGCAAAACAGCAAAATAAGGGGGGGGGGAAGGTCAGGGCAAACCGCGGAAGAAGAAAGAAGACAGAATGTAATCAGCGGAAAATAAAAAAACCACCAACAGATTTGAATTCTCTCTTTTTTTAAGACATTATAAAAACAGATAAAAATTTCCTTTTCAAGGCTGCATGATGAGAAATATTTTGAAAGTCCCCAGGAAAAAACACAGTCCACCCCAAACAATGGTTTCTCAGATCGTCGCGCTGATGCCCTTGCCCCGCCGACAACAGCTTGCAGGGTTGATCTTGCCAGCAGAAGGGAAAGATAATCAGGGTAGGAGAAACGAGATTAATCACGTTTTAATAACTCTTTTTTTATTCCGATGATCTTTTCCCTCTGTTGCCTCAAAGCATGACAGGCGTTGGCTGCTGTGGCCCTGGCGGGCTGACTCAGAGATGCAGAAATGCCCTTCCTGCTGACATACTGCTTTTCCTTTATAAAAGCTGATTAATCACGCTCCTCCGCAATGCAAAGTTATTGCAAGACATCACCGGCTGTCCGCTGCGATAACAGGAGGGAGACCTTTCGCTTTACTTGAGTCTGACTCACCCGCAGCGTCAGGAATGCTGATAGCGGGTATTTTGAATGGTTCTTTTGACCTGCGGTTATGGGGGTATGTGTCACGGATTTTCTTCGCTTGTTTGTTGGGTTTTGGAAACGAGGTTCCTCATGTCAGAATGCTGACAATTATACACAAGTTAATATAATGTAATATAATGTAATATAATGTAATATAATGTAATATAATGTTAATATAATATAATGTAATATAATGTAATGTAAT